CCATTCATTGTTCGGACTTGATAATTACTTCTATTTCCTATGAAACCTCCTCTATAATATCTTATTATACCTCTCATGTTGTTGGGTGATGTATAGTTATTCCATCTTGATGGTGTATTATTTCCTCTAGGTGATGAATAGTTTCCTCTAGGTGATGAATAGCTTCCTCTGGGTGAATAGTTTCCTCTGGATGTATAATAGTTTCCTCTGGATGTAGAATAGTTTCCTCTGGGTTGTAAACTAGGTGCTTGCCAACAATTTTTGATTAAATGCCCATTCCTTCCACATCTGTAGCATGATTTTTCTGACATAAAAGCTGTGCAGCTGTCAATTCCAGGATTTTTTTCAACTTGTCTTCCTTGTACTCTTCTCTTCTCATGTTCTGCTAATATTTTCATTTTGACTAGATCAAAACTTTGGTCCCCATTAGGCAGATTCTCTATAACTGTTATTATTGTTTCATATGATTTTGGAAGTGACATTAGAAGGTTGCAAATATTGTGGTATCGTCCATTTTATCTCCTGCATTTTCCAATTGTCTTAATAGTTCTTCAAATTCGGACATAAACATTTCAAGATCCCCTTCTTCTTGCAATTTCAGGGAGAGTAATTTCTTTTTCAAAAATAACTGACTGTGCAAACCTTTTTCCTCGAATTTCAACTTCAAAGCTTCCCACATCTGATATGCTGTTCCTTTTCCCCTCAATAGTTCCAATTGTGAATCAGCTACGGATTGAACTATCAACGACTTTGCTTCACTATCTTCTCTTATAGCCTTCTTCTTTTCCTCTTCTGTAATACCATTAAACACTGTTTCATTCTTCACTCGTTCACAAACTCCATTTTCTTCCAGTATCATCTCCACTCTGAATTTCCAATTTGAATAGTTTTCCCCATTCAATGCTTCTATGATTATAACTCTTGGATTGAGCCATTTCGTAAAATTCACTTCAACTTTTCTTCTTATTCTGCTCGGCACTCACCTGGGCCCATAACCTCTTGATGTTTGGAATATACTTTGATTATCTTCTCAATAAAACTCTCCTCACTTTCGTTTCTTACTTTCATTTTGTCTAATTTCCAATCAAAATTATTTTAACAACATCACTCATCTATCATGTTGCTAACCAACCTATCAACCAAAGATCAAAACTATCTAGATGATAGATAATACATACTGAGTGTTTTAGCGTTACAACTCACAAATTTATTGGCCATATCAAATAAGCAACTACAAATGGCGAGACAAACTTCACGATGTTCTTTGAACATTATAGGGATTCCCTTTCGTGCGCTCCAATCGATAAAAAAAAAAAAAAGGATTGAAAAAAATTACATATACATATATAAACATTTCACTAGACATCCTAAAAATATGTTTACAGATTAAAATAGTGGAAAAATGATTATTCAATGGAACAATTTATTTATTTAGTGAACATTCAGTGTTTAAGTTGATTTGTTAGGATAATTCCTCCATCTTGGAGTAGAAGCAGTTTCCTAATAGTTTGTTACGTTTTTGAATTGTGCTATTGATACCTTTCAAGTGTTTTTGTAGTTTGTTATACAGATATATGTCGTTGTACATGGTAGATTTTTTGAAGATCGATGTTTTATGTTTTGGTATATTCAAAATGAAGTTTCTTGATGGGTAGCGATGATTGTTTTCCAAAATGCTGAAATCGGAAATGTTAGCTTCCAAATATGTTGAGCATTTTAAGATAAAAATCGAACAGAAAGTTAGAATATAGTGCTATCTAAATAATGATCTACATGATGAAAATCCAGTTCAAAGTTTGGTCGGACAATTCTTTTCTGTGAAGTGTAGACTTTCATGTGCGCCGTTGATAGACCCCATATTGCAATTTTATTTGATATATGGCTGTATGCAAATGCATAGTACAAGTTCAACATCCCTTTCATGTCCAAAATTGGTTTTATTTGAAGAATTGCATAGTATATGCTTTATTCAGTTGCTTACAAACAAAGTCGATTTGAGAGGAGAAACTGAGATCTGAGTCGTGCCATGTCGTCAGTCGGTGATTATGATTCTCTTATCGAAATCAAGAAATTCGAGAAGGCGGACTTTGTGGGAATGTTGGTACCAGACATTGTTATCTCAGGCATTCTGAGTTCCGCCTTTCTAGAGAAAATACAGGCTCGAGTTTTCGTTGTTGGTTTCCCAGGCTGAAATTTCAGCAAGATCTTCATTGACAGCGATGAGCTGGTTCTATTAAGAATGACTATTGGACACACGAACATTACTCATCTGTACCTACTGAATGGGTTTCGAAGATATGTGATGTATGCCAATATCATCTGAATGTTCAGCATTTTCTAACCACCGCGGAGTTGTACCAAGATGAATTAGCGCTGCCAGATGAAAGATAACACATTCCAAAGCCGATAATGTCACCTGCAGATGCATTCTTGCAAAATCTCTGATATCATTATCATCAATATTATGAGAAAATATCACTTCAGCCATTTAATAGATGTATGTTCAATATTCTTGTTCTGCCATTTTTTTTTCATAATTGGTATAGGATGGTCGGCAAATATTTTTCTATTCAGGACTTTTCAAATGTATGTTTATAGTACATACTCTGTATTTACAGGGTGGTTCAACGAAAACTTTACATTCCGATTTCAGAGGTTCAAAATGAAAATCCGGAGAAACGCTCAGACCCGTCGATTTCTAATTCGAGGAGGAACAACGACGTGTCTGCTTTCTTCATTCCCGTAACTTCAACCAACTTACCAAGAGCAAGCACAACCCCCGGATTTTGAATAGGAATGATGACTGATGAGTTTTGCAATACCGCATTTTGCAGATGTCGTCAAGGATACTATCCAATCCTCTAAGTTCGCGTCAAAATTTTCATGGATAACGAAATGAGAGATAAAATAGTGGAAGAGGCAATGTCGAATTTACCTCGAAAATATTATTCCTATTAGAGTATTATTCGAAAAGATTTTTTCATTTGTTATTTTTCGAAGTTTGTGGACGCACTATCTGTTCGATTTTCAATATTTTCAATTTCAACTTTTCAACCGTGTCAATTCGATTGTTCAATATTCAGTCTATCATCGCTGGCGCAGAAACCCTAACCTCGTGACTAGATCAGATCATGATGAAGCTATGAATAATTGTCATACAAAACATGCATTAAAAGAATCATTCATTGCCAGAATAAGATCGAATAAACTCATAGATTGTCCCAATTGCTCCCGTTCGTTGGTCCCTCACAAAAGCAGTAGGGAGGAATTTCACCAATAGTTCATTCCCTCCTCAAAGCCGACGTCACAGTAGCAAGAACACCGCAAGAGAAAGCAAACATTCTTGCAGAGATGTTCGCAGCAAACCACACCTTAGATTCCCAGTAAAGAAGAGTGCCGCCAGACATTATGCCCGTTAAGAGTCGAATGCCCGAAATCGTTTTCCATTTCTATACGTCGAATTGATGACGTACTCGGATGTACGTCTTTCAGACGTATTTTATACGTCCTGGGAGGAATGATGTGATCCGGACCTGAAATGTACGTTTTTAGGATTATATTTTTGAACCTCTTGAAGACGTACACGAATGTACGGTTTGTCTTTCATACGTCCTTGGACGTAAAGACGTAAGTCGGGCGTAAAATATACCTCTTTAAGAAATCCCCTAATAACACAATTATGTCCCATGGATATCCTGGATATCCTGTCAGGACGTCCGTAGGACGTTCGAATTTGGTACCGTGGACGTCCATTGGACGTCTGTGGGACGCACAAATGTCACACTTGAGGATCAACTAGGGACGCCCTTGAGGGATATCCCTGGGACAACTATCGAATACCTAAATCCTACAGTATTCCTCAGCAAGCACTACGAAGGGCATCCTTAGGACATCCGTAGGACAACCTATCAGTAACGCTGTTGGATATCAATTGGTTGTCCATAGGATGTTCCAGGGACGTACGAATTATTCTTGGATTTCAATTTTTCTGGGTCCATCTAGGATCAGATCGTGCATAACTGATGAGGACATCCAGTTGAGTTGATGGTCTATAGAAGGTCCCCAATAGATCCTGAAGAAGTTTCCCAAGGATGTCCAATGGACTTACGTGGAGGACATTGATTGTCTAGAAGGGACATTATATAAGATCTGAATAAGTCATGCCAGAATATGTACTACTCGATCGGGACATCCAATGGATGTCTCTAAAAAAACTATTAAAATCATATCCCATCAGGGCATGGACATTCTACAATATGAACCACGTGGGACATCTAAGGGATGCTATTTCTAGGACGTTTGAAATGATGTACCTGCTGGGACATTCCGTGGCGTCCTTGCTCGGACATTGTATGAGATGTACGGGATGGAACGTCCCAAGGACACTTTTTTTTTGTCAGGGACATTCGGACTTGAATTGTACCAAATAGGGACGTCCCTATAGGACGTTGTGTGCTATTAGGGCTATTGCTGATTGGGTACTTCACTTATTGAGATTTAAACCTTCATTTTCCCGCATTGTCATTCTGTCAAAAATATGATATTTTTGACCCCAAGTGTGATATGTCAAAATAATAATTTTGCCAGAACGACTCCGAAGATATGTTTCTACCATATACGGTTGTATAAACAAATAATCACATAATAATCAGTCACACAATTGAATGAACAATAATTATAATCTTCAATACTACTACCAAATAATCACACTTGATGATCACGTGATATATGCCGTCAGATGGCACATTCCTTAGCATTAAAACCCAATATATGTCAAGCTTCATTAGAAAAATATGGGGAATCCCTAGCTGTGGCGTTGGATATATCGACAATAAGTCAGCACACGAAGCGAGTTTGGATAAATGTTTATATCCTTTTTTTTCATAAAATATATGACAATTAAAATCGATTCGAGTTTCAATTATTGTACAATTTATCAACAAATAAACTAACACTTTTACTCGCAAATATGTATAAGCACCATAACATTTTTGTTTCAGGCAGTAGCAGGATTTCTAATTTTCGGTGAATTTACATCATTATGGTGGTGGTCTGGTATGTTCTTGATTATTCTTGGTGTACTTCTGATAGTTGCTGATGAATCGAAAAAAGAGGTAAAGTCAAGTGATGATCCAAGAAGATTGTAGCAATCATGTTTCTACTATTTGATATCTTCTGATATACATTATAGATTAAAACTAATACATATGAGTATTTTTTTCATACTTCCTACAATTAAATTAGGAAGCTATGAGCACACCTTAGGTTACGATGTACCTGTATTCTGTGGTTATTCCAGGTGTTTTCGAAGAACACAAAGGCACAATACAACATTCAGGCATATTATTACCGATTATTTATGAAGTTTCGTAAACAAATAACACTGTAAATAAAAGAATGAATATTGACAGCATAGCTATAGTATCTAGACCGATATTTTTCCCAGCAACCAGAAAATCTCATCCAGATTGCTCTCCTGAAAACGCTTCAATACAATGCGTAGGAACTCCCAAACTGTCATTCATGACGTCGAGCTATATCTCGTAGAACGAAGTTTTATAACTGAAATCATGAAGGATCCATCTCGGAGGATAATTTTCTTGTAGACCGTGAATTACTGCTAGCGAAAATCTGTCCTCTGCGATGGTTTCAACTAAGAACTGTTCAGTACTATTTACCGGAAATGAGAATTAACATCAAACAATCTTCAAATGCTTGGAACATGAGAGAATGATCTGATGTGGGAATTTCAAATTTTTTTTATTCAGAACTACTGGTATTTCTTTCGAAGAATACAGTTTTTCCTCAACTTACCTTCCACCCAGCTTACCTACCCCTCTTTCGATTGGTAACGTCACAATAAATCACCCTATAGCATCTCGTTGTGTAGTTTCAATGTATTTTTTCCCACAATTTCTATCCTCCGTTGTGAGAACCGTTTCCTGGAGGTATTCCTCCAACTGTCAAAATTTCTCGAATTGGTCTTGGCACGCAACTTGATCAATATTACACATCTGCACTTTCTCCTGCACCTCAACGTCCCCCGAAACTCCCATAGGCCCAGCAATTATCCAACCCAGTTCGGTATCCTGTAAAACCGGCATTCCATTACCCAATTAGTTTCTGCCTGACTTCAAAAGATCCCAAAAAACAGTAGCACCCAGGCAACCAGATGACGAATGATCACGTCACTGTGACGTCCCTAATTGGTGACTTTTCTTCAGAGACGTCACACACCAATATATGACGTCACTATGACGTACTTTCTATGACATGATAATCACGTCATCATCTCGACGTCGAGTGAATGTCACTTAGAAGGGTAAAATAAGACGTCAGGTAGATGACGTTACAGGGACGTCCTGTCGACGTCTATGTTTTCCAGACCGTATCTAAAACATGTAGACTTACATAATCATGTGGAACCGTTAGGTTTTTGTCGTACCTTTACAGTGTGTCCCACTTACCATGCTCACCATGGGTATCTTTTTAACGGTGAGAGATACGAGGTCGGTTAAATGACACCAAATGTGGAGTTTGTTAAGGCCAACTATAATGTGAAAAAATATTTCGATAAAATTTATTCGTTTTTGTTTTATACACAAAAAACAGATTTTGATCATTTTCATGTCTCCTCCGTAACTTCTTTATTTATGAAAATATTCAAATATGAATTTCACATTCTCATGGCAGTTTTTCGAAGTGATTTCGAAAAAATTATGAAATTTATACAAACTCTTCTAGAATTTGAGATATCAGCACCAACTTTAGTTTTTCAAATGTAGGTCATAGCTCACTATGACTTAGTCACGAATAGCTTTTTTTTCTCTTACAGATGATGTGTCGCAGTAATAGTTTTGTGTTGATAACAACGGAGTTATCGTCATTTATACAAAAACAAAAAATTATTTGGAAGCCGCCATCTTGAATTTCTACATTTTAACAAAAAAATCATGATATCCGACCTCAGGTAGCCAGACTGACGAATATGACGTCTATAGGACCGCTATCTAAGGTCGTTTTTGGTCTCATACGTCTTTTGACCAAATTATGACGTCATGCGGACGTCATTAATGTGACGTCTTATGGACAGCCACTGTTTGACGTCGTATAGACGTCAATCTATGGTCTTCATATTTTTTTGGGTATTATTATCATTATCATTATTATTATTACTATTATTATTATCATTATTATTATCATTATCATGTATGTATAGGAAAACGAAGTCATAAAATAAATTAATTAATTTATCTAAATAACTGTATAAATGTATGATAAAAATGTATTTTTTTCCATAGGCTTCCCATGATTTTCAATGTTTAAATTTAGCGCCAAAGACAATTCTCACTTACCGACCAGATGGCCAATGGCGATCAAGTAATTACGCGAAGAGATTGTGTATGCGACTGGCGACCATCTCGCGACTGCCGTTAGTGGCGTTAGTGCCGTTCAGCGGTCCGTTCTGTGATTCAGCGTCAAGCTTGCATCGTGCATGGTGCGTTCCCGTTCATGTTCATTGTCCATCGTCCATGTTCGAATGGGTGTTGTTTGTGAACGGCGTCTGTGCCATTGGATTTGTTAAGAATGTTAAAATATTGAGGGTTTGAGTGGTATTTCTATACAGTCTGTTTATCACGTGAAAGTATTCAGGATGTATTGTGTAATACAATTTGATGACAGTGGAAGCAACAGTGTAGCTGTTGTTCACGAAACTTGGCTGACGCCGTTGAAAAAGGAAGTGTTTTGGCCGCCATTTAAAGACAGCAAAACATACAAAAGAGCTCTCTGTGAAGGGGAGCCATCGACGCTGAAATTTTCAACTATATGTAATACCTTACATTACTATCTTGTTAATAAAATCTTCATTCGTAGCAAATTCATTTTATAGCACAAATGATTATCTTCCTCACCAGATTATAACCATTAACCTCAAAATTTTATAAAAAAAACAGACGTCTTGTTGACGTCGGAAATTGGTCAGTAGTGTCAGTTTAAGGTCCAATTTGAAAACACATACTGACGTCTAAAAGACTTTGAAATATGACGTCATTTGGATGTGTCTTACTTACGTCATTTGGACGTCGCATTTGTTGAAATAAAGACGTCTTTTGGCCGAATGTGATGCCGTCAATTAGACGTCATATAGTCGTCATGTGCTACCTGCAAAAACCCCCACTTACCAATTTTGAATGGAATCGGACCAAATCTTGTCCGCCATCTTGGAGCAGCCATTTTTTTTAATTTCAACAAAAACTCCATAATGTATTGTCACCGAAATTATGAACACCTGCCAAATTTCAAGTTAATCGGAGTTATGGAAAAATCGTTTTTTCATTAATTTTACATACCTATATAGAAACATGTACGACTTGGTAATTTTATATTTATGCTTCTGAAGTCGATAGAAGTATAAGTCATCAAAACAAATCAACATGCAAGTTTTATTGAAATTATATATACTCAAAAAGTTAGATCAAACTTTCTTTAAACTTTGACACCCTGTATATCTCAAAAACCAATCAAGCTATTTATGTATGTGTATAAATACAAATGATATAAACCGTCACTTTTATGACGTTGCAGTGACGTATCTTTGACGTCTAAAAATCACGTCGGTGTGACGTACAAATTTGGTAAGCTTCGTCATTCAAAAAATTGTTCTATCATTCGCTATTTAGATTTTTGTTGGGTGACAAATAATGCATGAATATACGTTACTGAAGAAAGTGAAGCTAACTTCGCCCATTTCATTGCTATCAAACTATTCTTGGTTTGCTTATATCTCGCCGACAAAAAACTACATAACTTTGTATACAGATACGAGTAAATTATTCCATTTTGATAGGGATGCGTACTGAGGGATAGCGCTGCTGAATAGACGATTGAGTGGACATGACACCGGAGGGACCATCAAGCAGACTCAACAATGCATAATCAATATTATATCATCAGAGGTCAGCGGTGATTATCACGTCACGTTCGAGGAAACTTCTTTACGTGCCATCACCAAATTTGAATGTCATTTTGACGTCAGTCTGACGTCACAGTTTGGTGATTGTATGACGTCAATAAACGTGAGTAATATGACGTCATTGGGCTGTGACTCATTCACGTCATTTCCCGGATAACACACATACATCCATTGGATGTCCATTTTGAATCCATTAGGTAGCCGGATGTCCATGGATGTCCAATGGACATCCATTGTGTATATGTACAATGGACATAGAGATTTGTACATACAATGGACATCCATTTCGTAGTTGTACAATGGACAACGAAATTTTTACAGCCAATGGATATCCATCATACTTATCCAATGGAAATCGTTTCGCAAAGTATATATGTGTCATTTATGACTCTTCTATTTCAATTGAAATATTTTTACCAATAATATATAATATATATATGAACATTAATCACGGACAACTTCGCACTCGGTACTATTTTTCAAGATTTTATATGTCTCATCATTTTTGTAGGTTACGTACCTATATAGAGGTTGGTACTTATTTTAAAGTTGGTTTTCATCCAATTTCAATTTTAAACCATTTAGGCCGTGCAAATAAGATCGATATGGGCAAATATTATACGGCGGGTTTCTTTCGAAAAAGATGAATCACCCTGTAACACTTTTGATAAGGGCCGTGTAAAAGCTTTATTGCGGCACTAAACTTCAGCAAATTGCATTTTCTCTCGATGTGAAATACCGTGAATACGAAATACTTGCTATAATATTTATAACAGCTCAGTGGTCCAGAGGTTAGCGTTGTGATCCACGAGAGCGGGGTCGGGAGTTCAATCCCCTCAAAGGACAACTTTTTTTTAATTTCTACGTTCTGCCTGGACAAAATTTGGATATCCAATGGAAATCCAATGTATTCCTGATGAGTATCCAATAGACTTATCATTGGAATCGACATAAGTTGGATTTTTGGTAGACATCCATTAGAGTTCTGATGTGTATACAATGGTATTTCAAATGTAATGGACATACAATGGATCTTCATTGGGAAACCATTGGATGTCTGATGAGTATCCAATAGACTTCCAATGGAAAGGACAAATATTGGATGTCCAATGGAAATCCATCAGATGTCTAATGGAAAGCCAATGGACTTCCAATGTATGTCCAAACTGTTGGACATGTATTATCCAATGGATGTCCATTGGACAAATACTGGACAATGCCGTCCATCCAATGGATGTCCAGGGTATCCATAGCTGGACATCCATTGGTTGTCCAATGGATTCACTTGTGTTGTCTGGGTTATCACGTCATACGACGTCAACTCCTGAACGTCACCTTGGTCATTCAACTGACGTAAAAAGACGTCACTGGAACGTCATCTGGTTGCCTGGGCACCAAATGACAGATCAATCCGACCAATTTTTCTGAAAGATTTTTCAGCTAATTTCATATAAGTTGGATTCATGAAAGTCTTTGAATCCACAGAGAAAAATGGAATATTATCAATCAATAGAAATGATTCGTCAAAACTGTATCCAGTACTATTTGAATGAATTTTAGCTTTCACAACATGACTCACATTAGTATCTACTTTAACAATTCCCAAGATTATCAAACTCAATTTTTTCGAATCTAGATTTAACTTTTTTTTCCAAAGACTTCGTCATAAATGAGGACTCCGACCCAGAATTGAGCAATTCTCGATATTCATGCATATTGCCAATTGAATCTTAAATTTTTACAGCAGCTGTGGACAACATAGAACATGTCCTATTTTTCATTCATTTTATGTTGAAGCGCTTGCGCATGACGCCATTATTTAAAACAATTTTTTGGGGTTATGGTAATGTCACTTTGTTGGTATTTTGGGAAGGTACCCAGGCAACCAGATGCCGTTCCAGTGACGTCTGTTTTCACGTCACTTGAATGACCAAGGTGACGTCAGTGTCGCATTGACGTGATGATGCCGTGAATAAGTCACAGCCCAATGACGTCATATTACTCACGTCGTATTGACGTCATTCACTCACCAAACTGTGACGTCCGACTGACGTCATAATGACGTCAAAATGACGATTGAATTTGGCAATGATACGTAAAAAAGATTCCTTCAACATGGTGTGATAAATACCACTAGCATCTGATGACATTATATAATATCGATTATGCATTGTTGAGTCTGCTTGGTGGGTCCCTCCTGTGTCATGTTCATTCAATCGCCTATTCAGCAGCGCCATCCTTCAGTACGCATATCCATCAGAGTGCAATCAGTTTCTCGTATTTGTATCAAAAATTATGTAGTTTGTGTCGGCGAGATGTAAGCAAACAAAGAATAGTTTGATAGCAATGGAAAGGATGTTGGCGAATTTGACTTCACTTTGTTGAATAATGTATATCGATGCATTCTTTGTCACCCAACAAAAATCTAAATAGCATATTATTGAAAAATTTCCTAGATGACGTAGCTCACCATATTGGTACGTCACACCGACGTGATTTTTAGACGTCATAGATACGTCACTTCAACGTCATGAGAGTAACGGTTTCAATATATAGGTATACCTGAACAATCATTTTTATATACCATACATAATATATAGATTGTTGGTTTTCGAAATATACAGTGTGTCAGAGCTCGAATCAAAGTTTTTTAGAAAAAAGTTTTTCTACTACTTTTCGGGTATATTAATGATTAGAATAAAACTTGCATGTTGATTTGCTTTCATGAGTTATACTTCTGTTTCACATGATAATATACGTGATTATCACGTCATAAAAAGTACGTCATAGTGACGTCATAAATTGGTGTGTGACGTCTCTGACGAAAAATCACCAATTAGGGACGTCACAGTGACGTGATTATTCGTCATCTGGTTGCCTGGGTAATTGATGTACCTAATATAAATTACAAATAATATGGGAGGATTTATGCACAACGCTTTTTCATTTATCTGTTGCTTTCATTAAGTGCCATCAAGTTGATTTTTATTTAAGGACTATGATACCTTTATGCACCACCACTTTTAAATTTTGAACTCTTCTGCTTGGTCAAAACATAGTCCCTGTTATAACATTCAGTGATCACATAATTACAATATAAGAATCAATCATTCATATTGTTTTCAAAGTCTAATTTGAACATACGACTAGAATTTTCAGAATTTTCAACCACATTTTGGCAAAAGAAGAGGAAGAAATTGTTTGTCTGACTTCTGACAGAATCGCGCCTGCGCAATAAGACACAGTTTTATTTGTATTTGTCGTTCAGAGATAAAATTTGGTCGTCTTTTAGCGAATAGTTAATGAAAGATTAAATTCAATTCAGGTGCATGAATGAATGAACGGGAATACCAAGTTTCAACTTATTAGTGAAATAGTTATAATGATTGTGAAATTACAGATTAATATGAAAAAGCGGTGTGTATAAATCCGCCTTATATGTCCACTGATTAATTTAACTGTGATCTCAAATTTAGATAACATCAGTTCTATAATGGTTGGGTCTTCGGAGCATACGTTGGTGCTTTAAATTACGAATATCGAAAATATCCCTGTACGTTTGCAATCTCATTTGCAATCAAACGCTCGAATAGAGTGTAGACGCTTTGACAAAGATGAAAAGTGGATTGAGTACCTATACCTCGAGGTATATCAGAAATGATCATTTCTGGTGAAATACATTCTCGCATGTATCTTTCATAGTTTATTTTGCCCAGAACAAAAGTGAACTGATCATTATTTATTCTTATGAATTCTGTAACTACTTATATGATACTGAGGGTTTTCAGAAAAGTGTTCATCACGAAATAAATGTAGAATATTATTGTTCTGTAAATAAATCCCGTTCTTGCAATTTCTTAATCTGAAATTGGATATCCTCGAATTCCGTGTAGATAATCCAGGAGCATGTTGCTGACGTCAAAATATATAAGAAGAGGAGTTCGTATAAATATATGTCCGGTAGTTATTCGTTTCTGAGATACAGAGTGTCATAGTTGAATTCTTATTTTCGTTTTTTGTTGATAAATTTCAAAATGATTGTGATATTCCAATGGAGTTTGGTTTCTAGGGGTATTTTTCAATGACAATATCAATTTTTTTGTTAGTTTGTCTCTTTCGTGGGGGTGGCGTCACCTATACATGTCTTTTGAGTCTTTTGAAAAGTAATAACTTTTTTGTGCGTACCTGTATCACATTAAATAGTAGGAAAGAAGATTTCTAGAACACTTTTGTGTAAAAAATATATTCCTGCTAGAGGTCGCTGCGAGCGAAATTGAAACCCGATATGAAATCAAAATTTGAACATCTTTTATTTCGAAAACTATGCGACGTTCCAAAGCAAACTCCTACATTTCTCCTTTCATTTTGTTAGAGGGGTTAGGAAACACCTTGGATATAATGTACCCAAATAGGCAATTCCACAACAATCATTTCGTTAATATCACTTACTATATTACTGAACTGCTCACCAATCAACGCTTCTTTAATTATAATATAAATAAGTAGGTAGGGTATGGTGGAATTAATTGTTATTTTTTTATCATTTCCGATTGACACAAGGAATAGATATACAATAATAATACTTTATAAACTTTATTCAGGTATAAAACTGTAATAATTCTATGGAACACACTAAAACTCTTTGGTAACACTCAATTTTTCCTCTTGATGAAGCACAGAATATTTATCCATGCAAATGAACACATTGCGATATAGGATACCCTGTACATTGGAGGAATCAGCAGGAAATTCATAGTTTGAGCAGGCATCCAGAACATGCAACTAGTCTTGAATGTTGGAACAAATTTTTGTTTCATTTCTTCAAACAGATCTGCTTTCTGTTCCATTATAGACATGGCTGAAATAATATGATCATCTGAATCAACAACATAAATGACATAGAAGTATGGCGGGTTGCATAAAACATTCTCAATTTGTTTATATCCATGGCAACAGAGGAGTATGGGTTTATGCGACCAACATTTTAGGCTTCGACATAAAAAGATATCAAATTTCTAGAAAATGAGCGATTATATACATAATACTTGAATAAAAAAATCGATCTATACGATCCATTGTCAAAAATGAAAAATAACTGATTTCCCTTACTTATCTCTTGTTCAGGCCGAGTGCGCAAAAACTCATCAGGAGTTTTTGTACCGAGATTTATTAATTCGATGGAAGATATATTCTGGTTTGGATACCAGATTAGCTTTGGTTTGACTAGTTTTGTCTCTCTAGAGTCTAGACCACTCCAAATGTAAGTATGGGTCTCCCTATTGCTGTGTGAATCAATATCCCTCTGTTACGGCTTCATGGAAAGAAGACACCTTGTATCGAGAAGATTCCAGTCAGCTCTGATATTTTGAGTGTTTTGTTTTGTCTTGGTGATAAGAATTTTTATGTATTAGAATAATTGGATTTGTATGTGATTGATATATAAAGAGGATTTCTTGAAAAAGTGATTTTAATCGACAACACCCTCCGTGGCTGTTAGAGAAAAAATCAATTTGAGACGAGGCTCAAGTATTTCCCCTCTTGCTGTCATCCTATACCTATTCCATCCAATCTCAAGGTTCTGAAATTTGTTTTACTCTTCCTCTTGAAAGATGGTTTTGGTTGAGTTGATAATGCGCCCCACTGATTGATACTATTTTTTGTGTCTTCTCTGGAATATGTCATAGTAGGTTACTTTGAATTTTCCTTCTGCTAGTATGAAAATGTCATCGGCGTAGATACGAGGAATCTAAAATTTCAAGACCAAGAGACCTAGGGAAATTTTGTGAATCTGCAATTGAAGTGGGATACCTGAAATTTTCACTCAGATTCGTAAGATTATAACTGTCAAGAAAATTAACCGAATTCGATTCGGTTTCCAGAATTCAGAAATTCATGTTATTGTATTCAGATTCATGAATTCGAAAAATAAAAAATGGGTAAATAAATATTCCACAGAGCGATGAATGACACACTGCTAACTTGCAACAAATTTGGAGTGATCTCATTTGTTTCAAAATTTTTTCTACTGGTTTTCACATATTGAATCATGGAGTTCGATGTCATAACTCGAAATAGTTTTTTATTTATATCGTTTCATCAGTGTCCTGTTGATTAATTTGTTTTGTAAAATGTCAGAAAAATAGTGTAGAAAATTAAAACCACTCGAGACATTCCCCTATCTATACAGGGTAATTTCCAGAGTTCAATACAAGCTCCGATTTGTAGTTGTAAATGAACATGGCCATGTGTGCATTGTTAAGGGTCTTTGATCGTATCTCAATCGTTTGGATGATCACACAGTTGATTGCTTAACTCATAATCCTGAAGAGTATTGTGATGTCTTGAAATACCTGCGAATTTTATGCATACAGGTTGATAATTTCGAACAGGTATATATTTTTGATGATGTATCTGTAAATGATAATTGGGGATTAACAATACCCATTCTCCCACCTAACGCCGGGAATGATATACCACGTGATTAGCTCTTGAAAATCGGGACGTCGCCATCCTGCGGGGTCAACGGTGAAAGACAATAATAGCTAATGAACTCTAAAATACAGTCGGTCATCTCGTATCGCGTATGTCATGTCGATGTACCGAACTCCCAATAAAAACGATTCATACTCTCCGCAAGTGATTCTCTGTGGAACCCAACATAAATAACTATGAATTCCCTTTTATAGTGGCGCCCAACGTGGGGCCAGAACACTTAAAGAAGTGTGTTTTCGTTTTGAGTGATTTTGAGGTTATTACCGGTTTATCGAATGATATCAAGCGGTTAAAGATCGTTCTCTAGCCTCAAACAGGGTTCGTTCGGAGTGCGAAAAACAAAATCGTTTCTTCCGCTCTCGGTTCAACGATTAAATGTCGCGAGAGATTATGTGAAAATTCGAGGAAAACTTCCCCGCGACAAAGTAAATACTTCCAATGAACTGTTAACAAATTCCAGATTAGTAGAAGAAACTTTTGACCGCAGTGACAAGGTTGTCACAAAAGAGTCAAAGGACAATTAGAAACGCGTACGTTGTCAATGTTCCAAGGATCTGGGACATGCGAAAGATGAGTGTTGGAAACTCATGAATTGGTCACCCAAAGACGTTGAAAAGCCGAAACCTGATGCGCATGATTCTACTCAAAATTCAACATCTTCTGGCACGAGCCCGTAATCTGCTAATACGACACGTGGTATGGTAACTTCTCCATTGTCATCTTATGGATGCGGAAAACCAGGGTATGTTAGCTCGAACTGGCCTTGTAATAAAACTGAAACCATCTCAATGGAATTTTTCAGTATTGATACGCTGATTGCTCCCCATTCGCGTCCGATCATTCATGTCAATATTTCAGGACATCAAGGTCAAGGTTTCATAGAAAGGCGGCGAAATACATAGTGTCGCTGGCAAGAGATTATATAATATTCTCAAACGTGAGGGTCGAACGTTCTCGAAGAAGCATATTATGGTCAAGTTTGCTGATGGTCTAGGTAAAATGAAAGATGTCCTTGTCATATGTGTTGACGTGAAAGTTGACAAGACCATACCCACAAAATTCATAATATTTCCAGAGGGTCACAATGAAACTCTTTTTGGTAAAGATTCCATACAAGATGCCAAACTTATCTTGGACATCCACAACAAATCCACATCCTGTCTTACCAGCCGGAGCTTTTTTAGGTAAAGTATGACGAACCAACTTTCTCGTTATTCTGATATGATAATAAAATAGAGGAATCATCAGATCACATTCTTTTTTTTTATTCTTTGTTGAAAAATGTCGATGATTGAGACAGTGTCGATAATAGTGACTTTTACCTCACCAAGTTTGATAGGGGTATAATAAATGACTTTGAGGTATTGGCAAGAACCAATGAACTATTCCATAATAATATCTGCTCAATAACAATGCCATGGGCCTCTAGACCATTGGGCATCCGCTAAGAGTATTCGTAACTCTGTCGAAAGTAATAATAGCGTTGCTCACTCAAAATCCCACACCCCCCACTTCCAATGCTCATAATGAATTATAAAATAATATACACTTCTTCACAAAATAAACGCACCACCAAAAAGTAGCCAAAAGTTTAGGAAACATTTTCGTCAAGAGTACTTGTCCGATTTGGACGTTTTTTGTTTTGAATATATGACAGGTAATTTTCTCCTGAACATGGCTGTGCAAGCTGTATTCGCATAAAAACCTCTTTCTCATGACTACCGGGTGTGACAATTAAAGCGTGTTTTTTTCATGAAATTTGTAATACCCTGTGAATTGAATCAGTTACGTTATCAAGTTAGAATCGGAAGTACACTTTAGCTCGATCTATCTTTTTTCAACAGCCGTTTTTTTTAGAATCGGATGTATACTTTAGCTCGATCTATCTTTTTTCAACAGCCCTTTTTTGGATTCACTCCATTATCTTTCCTATTCCTCCAGAAACAATTCTATATCATAAGTGTAAGGATTTTTGTTGATGCAAGATACTGCCAGCCGAGTTGTGAGATATTATCTAGAGGAAGTCTGTATCGCTACCATCATGGCATGGCCAGCTTGGAGCCCGGATTCAAATCCCATTGAGAATCTTTGTGACATTCTTCGGACAAGATTACAAGAGAAACGTTACTTGAATACTTTGGAAAACGCACGGCAGAGACTGATGATTCAAATTATTTGGGAAGACCTGGACCAACATGTCATTAGAGTATAGACCGTCTTCGCAAAGAAGTTTTTCGTGCCCGCGGCGGGAATACTCGCATTCTGTTTCGTCTTTCTGTTATTCAATTTGGATATTGATTCTCCATGAAATCATGTTATATGTATGTAAGGAAGGATAATGGAGTGAATCTAAAGAAGGAATATTGAAGAAGGATGAGGCAACAGTGTACTTCCAATTTCAACTTGATAACGTAACTGTTACACTCCACAGTGTATTACAGATTTCATGAAAAAAAAAACACGCTCCAATTGCTACACCCAGTATTCATTAAAAAGAGTTTCTTGTGCGAATACAATTTGCACACCAATGTTTAGAAGGAAATAACCTGTAATTCTAAACAAAAAAACGCCCAAATCGGACAAGCCGTTTTGACGACAATGTTCCCTAAACTTTTGGCTACTTTCTGTTGGTGCGTTAATTTTTTGGAGAAGTGTAGATACTTCGTCCTCACTATGTGACTATGTCAACCGTTTACCTATTAATGTTATCATTGCAACTTACAGACATAAAAAATCGCTAATAGTGCAGGTGTGAATGTGAATTGATCTATCATTAATTTCTTGACTATGATGCTCGAAGTTTTTCCAGGGAACCATCTGTCCAAAGTCCTGTACCTGTTGAGAATAGTTTCGATTAATTCAGTTTTTTTTAGAAGAAATTAAGTTGGTGAAAGTCCTCTATTGATATTATGAGAATATACTATTATACACTCACATGCAAAAAAAACGCAACAAGTAAATATTTGGTAAAATTTGAAGTCTCATAGTTTTTTTATTTTCACTTCAATTTCCGAAATTTTTTCAGCAAACTGTGGATAAAATCATTAATTTCAACTGGCACATTCAGTATTTTGTTAAATGCTGGCTCATTAGTCATTATACAGGGTTAACTAGAAGTATGTTGATATACCCTAATTTTAAAACATCCTGTGGAATAATTTCGTCGTCAAATTCTTTCAAAATACCAATTTTTGTTAAGAACCGATCCTTTTCAACATTTTGTTTTTTGGTTCAAGTCTTTAGGGGCACTAGTTGATTTTTAAGAAGGAAATGAACTTATCATCAACGTTTACTTTGAAAAATGTAATTTTTTGAAGAGGTGGCTTTGCTCGTTGTTGTCCTAATGTCAGTTTGACAGTGAGAGACCTTAAGGAACTCGAACCATGGTTTTAAGTGCGGAAAATTGCGCAAAAGCTGTCGCTCTTGTTGAAGATGGACGTAATTATGAATATGTTGCAATGATACTTCATGTTCATCGCTCAACCATCAAAAGGTAATCGAACGTTTTAGACAAACTGGCAGAAATAAGCGTAGGGCAGGTAGTGGCAGAAAACGAAAAACGACTGCTATTGATGACAGATTACTTCATGTAAATACTCTGCGGGATTGTCATTTAACATCAGTGCAGTCTAGAAAACAATTTCAAGAGGTTCGAGGTACAAATGTTAGTGTGTTGACAGTTCGCCGAAGATTGAAGGAGTTTGGTTTGAAAGCTTATTGCAGACCAGCAACGGGACCCAAATTACTTCCGCGTCACCGAGTAGCTAGACTGGAATTTGCTACTGAACATTTACATTGGAACTTGGGGCAATGGAACAATGTTCTTTTCACTGACGAATCCAGATTTTGCTCACATTCTCCAGATGGACGGAAAAGAGTATGGAGAAGGAACGGAGAAAGATTTTCAGAATGCACGTTCAGTCCCCATCTGAGTTATGGAGGAGGTTCAGTAATGGTTTGGGCAGGAATATCCAGGGAGGCCTGCACTGAGTTGGTGGTCATCGATGGATCTTTAACGGCTCACCGATATATTGAAGAGATATTAAGCAATTACGTTGTAGCTTTTAGTGGATTTATCGGCCATGACTTTATCCTGATGCAGGATAATGCGCGGCCACATACAGCAATTTGTGTCACACAATACCTCGCGGAAGTAGGTATTAACAAACTGAACTGGCCAGCATGTTCGCCTGATCTCAACCCCATAGAGCATGTGTGGGACATGCTTGGTAGGCGAGTCATAAATGAACTTCCTTTAGCCATTCAGGAGGAATGGCAAAATGTTCCACAAGATGCTATTCGAAACCTTATTGACAGTATGAACCAACGTATGCAGGCAGTTGTGAGAGCCAGAGGTGGTAATACAAAATATTAAGCTGATTTTGTTGTAAAAAGTACGTTTCCTCATCAGGTTATTTAAGTTACAGTTGAACTGGTTTGTTTTGAAGTTTGATTTTCAATTTGAATTGAATGAGTTTGCATAAATAATGTATTAATTGTTTATTATTATAACTAAACAATATATTGCTGCCATTTCATTGTAACACTCATGAACTGAGCTGTCATACTGACATTATGGCACAATGAGCAAATTCATGCATGTCGTCAAAAAATAACATTTCTTAAAATTAGGTAAACTCTGTTGTTTGGAGTTCATTTCCCTCTTAAAAATCAACTAAAGCAACTAAAGACTTGAACCAAAAAAACAAAATATTGAAAAGGATCGGTTCTTAACAAAAATTGGTATTTTGAAAGAATTTGACGACGAAATTATTCCACAGGATGTTTTAAAATTAGGGTATATCAACATACTTCTAGTTAACCCTGTATAATGACTAATGAGCCAGCATTTAACAAAATACTGAATGTGCCAGTTGAAATTAATGATTTTATCCACAGTTTGCTGAAAACATTTTGGAAATTGAAGTAAAAATAAAAAACTATGAAATTTCAAATTTTACCAAATATTTACTTGTTGCGTTTTTTTTTGCATGTGAGTGTATATAGGTACCTTCAAATACGGTTCGATACGGAGCTTCACAGAGCGTTGTATTGCATTCTAGGCAATATAGTCTATTTCACGATTTCTCAGATGGTAGTATAGTAGTTAATCAATCATCTTGGAGTATAAGTAGATATTTAGGTCTTTGAAACACGGTAGTAATAGAGCAAGTGTTTTAACGACCAGTATCCACGAATACTTTGAGGTATTTTTTTATTGGTACACTTTGAGATCATAAATATGGATATATTAACAAATAATATAAAATGGTTTAACATTATGTCAGTGATATTTCATTTGACGTTACATCAGAATTCAGACGTTACGTCGCAGTGTTGTTGCCGTTACATTTCATTAAAAAACGCGCGTTTTTCAATGTTGGGATCAAACACGCTCGGGGGTTCTTCAAATACAAAAAAAATGTACAGAATCTTGTATTTCGTGCAAAATATTTGTTTGCACTAAATACTAAACAGTCTGTGCAATTATTTGTATATCTTCACGTGCACACAGCTCATAAGTAACCCGTAATCTTCAATCAAAGATAGCATCAGATAGCAAAGAATTTAAATACTCAAACCAAAATATCGTGTAGTAGCTATATATTGCCCTGACGCACTTCATCCCCTGCTAACTACTTAACGAACCCTATACTCGAGGGTATAATTGACTGTAGTATTGCCTGAATAATATTTTCAATTCGAGAAACGATACGCCCTGAGATCGGCGAGGACCTCTTGTTAACAAGTTCGATATTTTTAGGTGTTTGAACTGTTTTGGCACTACATTTTGATAGAAGGCTTCAACTGCGTAACCGCGTCTGATGATTCATGAGTCATGACTGATAGGTAGGTGAATTTCATACCCACCACTTAGTAGCGCGCTGCAAGCGCCACCCCAAATCGTCCCGTTTCATTGCCGAACCCTGTATATAAAATATGAACACAATTCAAGAGGTTTTTACCGAACCACAAATATACATCGATTTAAATTTTCAGAAATGTTTAGTTTCAATCCACTTATAAACATACAGGGTGATCCTCATTCGCAAAAGAATGAGGAAGACAGTTTTTTTTCGATGAAACAGTTGGAAGGTAGGTAACTATATTCAATTCCATATTTGGTGAAATTCTATCGAAACAAATTCAACAATTCTAGGTGATGATGATGGGATGAGGTGTGTTATGACTTTAAGGAAAAGGATGGAAAAACTCTATAATATCCTCGTCGTTGCTCATTCCTCGAATATGAAAAGAAAATCCTATTCGTGCGATCCAAGAGTTAAAAAAAATATTAGCTCATGAGAAATCTGCCAACGCTGTATCAATAATTGTGATTTCTGATGCCAGTGTCATAAAATCTCCATGTAGACGGCAGTCACTAGTATTTCGATAGCCCTTGAGTAAAATTTGAATTTTCAATTTTTCACTATTCGAAATTAAATTTCCCGTTAATTTGAACTTTGAGAAAATCGAATATTTTGGGGATTTTCGTTAGACTGAAGCGTATTCCTGTGTTCATATACACATTGACACATTGTATATATATATATATATATATATATATAATCAATTCTATAACACTCTGTATATGTATGTTGTTTGGATCTTCTTTTTCATTCAGAATATTGAAGTTGATATTGGAATTTGTTTCTTTGGGAAGAAATTGAATTTATTGGTGGAATAGTCAGGACATATTGTGAGCAAATAATGGTCATCAAGCAAGTGCTTGCATTGCATGTTTTGAAGTTGAAAAGGGTTTATTGCATTTGTTGTATATCACCTACCAGTTGGCTATCAGTGGTCCTCCTATAAATGTTCCATAAATTACATATCTTCCGATGGCACTGCTATTATATGGTTCTTGACGGTCCCCCTGTAATTTCACAGAGTCATCATCATCAATTCATAAATCGAGATAATTGATTATTAAAATATATCCATATTATCATTATATCAATAACTACATGAAAAACAAGTACAATTAATCTGTGCATCTATTAGATGTAAAAAGTCGGGTATAGTTCTGATTTTTTTATATGTTGTATCGCTATAGAGATACTACTGAAAAAACCCAAGTTTTCGACTTCGCCAATGCACCGGAAGCACCGAAAAATTGCGAAATTTTCGACTTTGCTACAATTAACCACCAGGTTTTGCTTTCCATCCTTCATTTTGTAGGTTTTTCGGCCAACGCAGTCCAACTCATGGCTAACTATATACAAAATAGGTGCCAATTCGTGGAAACAACTGTCGGACAGTCTGGGAGGGAAAATGTGACTTGTGGTGTTCCCCAGGGATCTATACTAGGCCCATTGTTGTTCAGTATATACACTAATAACTTTTTATCGAGTATAAAGACTTGTTAATCTCACTTTTATGCTGATGACACATAGCTATATCATTCATTTTTTCCTGATGATTGGCTATTGGCGCAACAGGCAATAATAGAAGACCTGGATCGGCTAGTAAAGCTATCGACACTGCATTCCTCAAAAATCAATGCAATGAAATCAAATGTCATGATTTTTGGTAAAAACAAACAATACATCATGTCTGTTATGAAAATACAAGTTCAAGGTCAAGGTGAAGAATTGTCCTTTGTTGAAAATGTAAAAAATTTGGGTTTGTATCTGGATGTAGATCTTCGTTTCAAAAAGCATATTAGTTATTGTATTCAAAAAGCATATTGTTCCCTGAAAATGCTTTATCCTCATAGACACTTGCTATCAACTACAACCAAAAGGATGTTAAGTGATACGCTGGTAATAAGTCATTTCAACTTTTGCGATGTATTATATGGACCTTGTCTGGACGAAAGTGGCATGAATCGTGTGGAGAAAGTACAGAAATCCTGTCTCAGATTCATCTATGGTATCCGCAAGTATGATCGATCCAGTATCGCACATGTTGAAACCCTCGAAGTGGTTGAAAATGCAAGATCGGCGGAAACTTCACTTCCTAGTTTTATCACACTCTATAATTCATAAACAGAGTCCTCCATATCTGTATGATGAAATAACATATGGAACTGATGTTCACAATCTGAATTTACGGCATAGGGGTCGCATCACTCTTCCACCTTATATAGAACCATCTTATTTCAAAGGAGCTTACAATATTTATAGTGCGTTATGTTAGCACAAGAATATTGCTATTCTGGCTACCAGCATGAAATTCGGTACACATGTTGATGAATATACAGAAAACAAAAAACCATCGGGACACACGCTGTATCTGGAATATTTCAGCCGCCATTTTTCAAAATGGCGACCGAAAGCTGGATTTTTGCTAATATCTCCAGAACGGTGGGAAATATCGGGAAAGTTCAAATCGATGAAATATAGAGGATAGTGAGGCGGACATTTTTTGTTCGACATATTTTTTTGTCAGACGAATCAAAAATTCAATAATCGAAATATCAAAATTCAATTTTTCAAGGTTTCTCGAGAAAAAATCAAAATGGAAACATTCAGGCTAAGATTAGCCACAGAAATAATGATCATGTGTTATCTGCTGTATAATGAACTCTTTCTTGAGGATTCAAACCGAAGGTACCATTACGTAAAATGGCGGTCAATTATTTTAATCTAAATAAAATCATATATCAATCTTGTTATAGGCTTGATGTTTAATTAGGTTCGATTAGATCAGTATGATGCTTGGTGAACTAACTAATACAACAGTATTACAAATAATGTTTATTGAATACAATGTCCATCACACGTGCATAGAGCAGTACACTGCAAATCAAATCTATTGCATTTGCAGTTCTTAAAACATATTGTTTTGGCATCTGCAGCTGATCAGATGAATCTGGTGAATGAAGCCCTATTTACATTGCTATATACTTAGGTACTTCTTCTACCAAACCGCCTGTAGGATGATGAAGCATAAGATTATAACTATATTAGATAATATATGAAGTCACATTATTCATGTTCATAACATGTATGCTTTTATACCTACTTTGAATGATCTGGTCCTAAATATTCTGCATTCCACAAAGCTGGATTTTTGCTAATATCTCCAGAACAGTGGGAAATATCGGGAAAGTTCAACATGATGAAATATAGAAGATAGTAAAGCGGACATTTTTGTTCAAAACATTGTTTTGTCAGACGAATCAGAAATAATTCAATAATCGAAATATTGAAATTCAATTTTTCAAGGTTTCTCAAGAAAAAATCAAAATGGAAACATTCAGGCTAAGATTAGCCACCGAAATGATGATCATGAGTTATCTGCTGTATAATGAACTCTCTCTTGAGGATTCAAACCGAAGGTACTGTAATAAAGTCGGGCTTCTACTACTTCATAAAATATTAAGCTTTTTCTTCTTGACTTTTATTTTTCAGTGACTTTTCTTCACATGACATCTATCTTTTTTTAGCCTTCTTTTATACAATATTTTCAACATATACAAGGTATATAAAACTAACTCACATAATATAACTATCTTTAACATTCTCCCCCCCGAATTCAGAACTATATTAGAAAATCCTTTAGGAAATATTCAATTATCATTTCGAATATTCGTTCTTGTTTGTTATTCTTCTCCTCCTTTTCTGTTGACGCCAGACAATTTGCACACTTTAGCCACTGACCGCCTGAATGTACCGTTCCTCATTTTTACATCAACAACTCGAACATTTCCATCTTTTCCTGTGTAGACTCGTTGAATCACTCCTAAAGGCCATACATTTCTGGGTGTTGTGTCATCAATAACGATGACCACATCGTCGACTTCAACATTTTCAACTTTCTTGTGCCACTTGTTGATTCGATTCAGTGTTGGAAGATACTCCTTAACCCATCTTCTCCAAAATAAGTCTGCTAGGGATTGTGATATTTTCCATTGTTTCCTAGGGTTTGTCTCTTTCTCGTTGAATTTTCCTGGTAATGGGGCTGCTCCATCAGATGAACTTAGACGGAAATGATTTGGAGTAAGGCTCTCTGGATCCGCTGGATCAGCAGAGACATGGGTCAGAGGTCTGCTATTCACCATGTTTTCAGCTTCTATAACTAGTGTCTGTAGAACTTCTTCTTTGGGACTTTTTTCTCTGAGAGTAACTTTCAGAACTGTTTTCACTGATTTCACTAAACTTTCCCAGCTACCCCCCATATGTGGACTGGCTGCCGGTATATATTTCAACTTAATACCCTTTGATGTGAAGAATGCGAAAAGTTCATCCTTGTTCAACTCAATCAGTGCATTCTTCAGTTCCTTGTCTGCTGCATGAAGATTGGATCCATTGTCAGAATGAATTTCCTGAGGACAACCTCTTCTACCAATAAATCTTCGGATAGCCATTACAGCAGAGTCCGTATTTAATGAGGCAGCTATTTCTAAGTGTATAGCTCTTACAATCATGCACGTAAATAGGACTATGTATCGTTTTTCGTGTCGTCTGCCTATAGTAACTGTAATTGGACCAAAATAGTCCATCCCAGTGACAGTAAATGGTCTCACGAAGCTCTTAAGTCGATACTCGGGTAATTGGCCCATTTCTGGAATTGTCGGTTTCGCCTTCATTTTCTTGCAGTAGAAACAATCATTTTGGCATTTTCGAACGGCATTCCTTATCCTCAATATCCAGAACCTCTGACGTATCTCGTTGATCACCAACTCTTGTCCCTGATGGCAGAATTTCACGTGATAGTCTTCGATCAGTAGCTTAGTAAAGAGGTGTTTCGGGTCTAATATTATAGGGTGTTTCTGGAAGAAATCTAGGTCTTCAGAATTGTGGAGTTGTCCTTGGATCCTGAGGATTCCCTTGTCGTCGAGCATCGGATGTAAAGTATAGAGTCTGCTACTTTTGTCAACTACTTTATCCTTCTTCAAGTCTGCGATATCTTCCGGAAAACAATCATTTTGGATATGTCTGAGCCATATTCTTTCAGCATTTTTAATTTCGTCATTCTCTAAATCTATAGACGTCTTGTTTGCTGCCCTACAGTTGTCAAGGAATCGAATCATCCAGGCTGTTGCTCGAATCAACTTTCCATATTTGGAGAATCTTTTCAAGTCTGGTAGATAACTATCGACTTGTTTTGTCAATAATACTCGTTCTTTCTTAACTTCCAACTCTTCCTCGTCTATGTCTTCTTCTATCTCTTTTGGCCAATTTTCCTTCGAAAGCTTCAAGAAGGTTGGTCCAATCAGCCACCTGTTAGGGTACTCTCATCAGCTACATTTTGTTCTCCGGGAATCCAGTGCCAACTCGATACATCTGTCAATTCAGTTATTTCACTCACACGGTGTGATACAAAAGTTTTGAATCGTTTTTCTTCAGACCTGATCCAATGAAGTACCTTTTTTGAGTCGGTCCACAGATAAATTGCAGTTGTTTGAACTTCTAGATTTTTCCTAATGGTGTTCACTAGTCTACTAAGCATTACTGCTCCCTGAAGTTCAAGTCGTGGTATTGTTATTGACTTTAATGGTGCCACACGTGTTTTGGCACTAACAAAAGAGACATTGACATCGATTGTACCGAAGCGTAGATATACAACTGCAGAGAAAGCTTGTTCACTGCTGTCGCAGAAGCCGTGAAGTCCCACATAGGAGCTCTGGAAAAGTTTAGGCCCATAACATCTTGGAAGGCTGATTCTCTCAATCATCTTCAACTCTTTGATCAGAGAAAACCATTTAGTTTCCATTTCAGGTGTTATCGTGTTGTCCCATCCAAATGCCTAAACGCCAGATCTGCTGCAGAAATATTTTGAACTTCACTATCATGGGTGATAATATCCCCAAGGGATCAAAAAAGGACATTGCTAGTTTCAAAACCTCCCTCTTGGTAGGAATTTTGATACAATTCATCACTTCTGGATCGACCTTATGGCAATTGAGAAAGAATGCGAAATTATCAC